TGGTAATTTTGCACCAAGGCTCTAACAGCGATGGGTGGAACTCCCCATCGCTGTTTGGCATGGTTCTGGAAACTGGTTTGGCTGAGGGGCCGCTTACCCATCGATGGGAAGATCTTCCCATCGCTGGGTGAGTGGTTAGTCAAGAACCCATGGTTTTTGCCTTAACCACGGCCTAGCCAACCGATGCGAAACCCGACCGAAAAATTCAAAGTTCTCCAAAATAAAAACCAAGTGTTTAAAACACTTATTTGATGTATTTGGCTAATAAATCGAGTAAGACACTTTAAAAACCACGTCATTTAAGTGAAAACCACGGCTAGCCAAGATTTATGCCGTTTTGAATGATTTTTGTCAAACGACCAAAAGCGAAAGATGTTTTTGTTGGAGAACCGTTTAAACAAGCCAAAGAGTAAAAAGAAATCATAAAAACTTGAAAACCACTTGGTTGGTTCAGACGCCAAAAACCATAGCCGATAACCGAGAGCCGAACGCCAGTTTCTGAAACCCGAACGCCGGATGACTTGGTTTTTGGTTTGGGCGAACACCAAGTGTTTTTAATGACATAAACATGTTTGAAAAACATTTTTATGATTTAAGAAGTGCAATGAAGGTTTTTAGCCTAAAGAGCCAAGGTGTAAAGATTGGGTCGGTCATGATCACAATGAAGACCGACTCAACGACACTAAGACTAAGGTCTTCGTTCATGGTCTTCTTTTAGCTCTTGTTCTTGTCTTCCTTCTTCGCCTTGTATATTCAAAGTTTGACTTGATCACGGCGGTTTGGCATTATCAAAACCTGTCATAAAAACAAACACGGCTTTAGTACACAAACGTGACATGCCCGTGTTTCAACAATTTCCCCCTTTTTGATAATGGCAAGCGAGATGAGGTTATGCATATGAGGAAGTCTTTGAGATTTTAAAAAAGTGTTCCCCCTTAATAGATGCCATTTTATTTGAAAAAATAATTCCCCCTCAATTTATGCATAACCTTGATATCTTCCCCCTTTTGACATTAACAAAAAGAATTAAAAGTGAACTTTGGAGTATAAAAGTAAACTTTTATTCATGAAAAAGGAGAAAATGCGGAATACAACGGAATGGAAATAATAATAAAAAAAAATCATAGGAAGGAAGGAAAAAGAAAGGAGAGTTTAGGCAGCGGCGTCCTCGTCCTCGGTGTCGTTGTCTTCTTCGTCGTCCTCAACGTCCATGGGATCCCCGTCGACCGCGTCCTCAAAATCGGCCTCGGCGTGGGAGGAGGATGGAGCATAGGAGTTATCCTCCTCGTCCTCGCCTTCATAGTTTTGGCCGAGGAAGGTGCTATCAAAGGGCGGCGGGACGTAGTTGATGCCGCGGAAGAACGCCGTCATGTCATGGTGTTGGCGTTGCAGTGTCCAGTCCATCCGCTCGATTGACTGCCCCATGCCGTCTACTGTGAGGGTTAGCCGATTCAGAGTATCGGCTATGGATTGCAAAGAGGCCTTGGCGGGAGCGGGGGCTGGTGCAGGGGCACGGGCACGACTCGGTCAAGCGCCGGTTCCGTCACCGAACTTCTTCCGGAAGGTGCTGTCTTGGATGATCCAAATCTTTGTCATCTTCGTATCCGGGCCGGCGATGGAGATGTCGGCGGAGATGATGAGGTCCATGACGAGGAAGGCATATGGTAAGCTCCGCTCAGTGGCGACGGAGGCGCAATCCGCCATGTGAATCATGACGTATTTTGCCCAATTGATCGAGGCACCGTGGGTGATAGCATGAACCGCCTTGAGATCCTCGTTGAAGAGACATGTGTGCCTACCGTCCCGGGGGCGAAGAATTCGGGTGAGGATGTAGAGAAGAAGACGCTTCTCCGGCGGGGCTGAGTGGATTGTTGGTGCGCCGCTGTGACGGATGAGGTTGGTGATCCCAAGCTCTCGGATGACCACCGCCTCGTTGTTGAGGATCCAATCATCGCCGCCATATGTTGTGATGTCGTCACCGCGGGTGGGCAGCCCTGCGACCCGAGCGAAGGTAGCCA